TTGTTAATAGTTGTGAGTTTGTTGTCATTTTACTGTTCATATTTTTTATCTTTTTTTCTTAATGAGTCCCTTTAACATTTCATATAACAAGGGCTTGGTGATGATGAGCTCCTTGAACTTGTCCTTATCTGAAAGCGCTTCATCTGCCCGTCCATTCTAAATGATAGCTTTGCTGGGTAGAGTAATCTTGTATGTAGCTCCTTGCCTTTCATGATTTGGAATACTTCTTTCCAGCCTCTTCTTACCTGCAAGTTTTCTTTTAAGAAATCAGCTGATAGTCAATGGGAACTCCTTTGTAGGTAATTTTCTCCTTTTCTCTTACCTTTTTTAAGATTCTCTCTTTATCTTTAATCTTGGGTATCTTAATTATGATGTGCCTTGGTGTGTTCCTCCTTGGGTCCAATTTCTTTGGGACTGTGTGCTTCCTGGACTTCCTGGAAGTCTATTTCTTTAGCCAGACTGGGGAAGTTCTCCTTCATTATTTTTTCAAATAAGTTTTCAACTTCTTGTTCTTCCTCTTCTCCTGGCACCCCAGTGATTTGGATACTAGAATATTTAAAGTTGTCCTAGAGGTTCCCAAGCTTCTCTTTTTTTGAATTCTTGTTTCTTCATTTTGTTCTAACCGAATCTTTATTTCTTCCTTCTGCTCCAAATTATTGATACAAGTCCTGGGTTCCTTCCCTTCACTGTTGGTTTCCTGTATATTTTTCTTTATTTCATGTTTCATAGCCATCACTTTTTCCTCTATTTTGGGACCATACTCAACCATTTCTGTGAGCATCCTGATCAGCAGTGTTTTGCACTCTGCATCTGATAGTTTGGCTGTCTCTATCACTTAGTTCTATCTTTGGAGTTTTGATCTTTTCTTTCATTTGCACCATATTTCTTTGTATCTGTGCACCTGTTACATTGTAAGTGGCAGAACCTTAGGTATTTGCTGGGGTGGGGCAACCCAGGTCACTGCATTGTGGCACTGTATGTAAGGGAGGGTGAGAGAGGGAACAATGCCACTTTCCCAGCTCTTGGCTGTCTTTCAGTCACTTCCTGGGGTGGGTGGGTTTGTGTAAATTCTAGGACCCTGTGGGTCTCTCCAATGAACTCTCTCGTGAAGCTGAGAGTTTCTTCTACGGCTGCAACTCCCATAGGTTTTTACAGCCAGAGATTTTAAGGTTTTAGTTCCCCATGCTGGAACCCTGGGCTGCGCTGTCTGTCTTGCTTCCCAGTTGTTCCTCCCAGTTTATCTGCATGCAAATATGAGACCACTGGGTCCTCCAGCCACCACCTTGCCATGTTTTCTCTCCACCCTGGCTGCCTGTGTCTATCCCTCCTACCAGTCTGAATGAGTATTTCTTCTTTTACTCCTTGGTTGTCAGACTTCCATACAGTTGAATTTTCTGACAGTTCTGGTTATTTTTTGTTTTTAAATTTGTTGTTGTCCTTCATTTGATTGTATGGGGAGGCAGTGTATCTACCTATGCCTCCATCTTGGTTGGAAATCCCCAAGTTGTGATTTTAAGTAAGTTATATGCCTGGTTGTACTAGCCTTGTATCTGAGTCTCTGTCTGCTTTCCACACTGGCCTTCATGCCACTTAATGAATTCAAGAACAACATTTTAGTCATTTTTGCCTTTTGTTGCCTTGGACAGAGCCTGACACACATCAAGTGTCCCTTAAATGTTGGTTGGATGTAGTTGAAAAAGTAAATTCACTTTTCTGTTTAAAAGATGACAATGAATGGGACTCCCATTGTACTTCCAGGAAAGCTGCATGATCTTTGCAGTTTCTCAGCCTGCCCCTGTGCTCAGCTTCTGCAACTGAGCTGCAGCCCTTGGCCCATCTCAAACAACAGAGCATCAGTTCCAAGTGTAGCTATGCTCTTCTCCAAAATTTTCATACCTTTCCCGGTTGTGTTACTTGATCTGACTAGATCTGACTGGTCTAGGCAGTAAATTACAGAAAATCCAACTTCAATAGGCTTGAATAATAAAGAGGATTTCTTTTTCTCTTTTTTTAATTTAATTTTTTTTATTGATTATGCTGTTACAGTTGTTCTATTCCCCCTTTATTCCCCTCCACCCTACCCCCCATCCCCACCATCACCCCCCCTTTAGTTTGTGACCATGTGTCTCAAGTCTTTTAGATTCTATATTTCCCATGCTATTCTTGCCCCCCCATCTATTTTCTATCTACTGTCTATGCTACTTATTTTCTGTACCTTCTCCCCCCATCTCCTCCTCCCACTCCCCTGTTGCTAACCCTCCTTGAGATCTTCATTTCTATGTTTCCACTCCTGATCTAGCTGTCCTTTTAGTTTGCTTTCGTTTTAGGTGTGGTTGTTAATAACTGTGAGTTTGTTGTCCTTTCACTGTTCATGTTTCTTTAACTTCTTTTTCTTAGATAAATCCCTTTAACATTTCATATAATAAGGGCTTGGTGATGATGAACTCCTTGAATTTGATCTTATCTGAGAAGCACTTTATCTGTCCTTCCATTCTAAATGAAAACTTTGCTGGATAGAGCAATCTTGGTTGTAGGTCTTTGGTTTTCATGACTTGGAATACTTCTTTCCAGCCCCTTCTTGCCTGTAAGGTCTCTTTTGAGAAATCCGCTGACAGTCTGATGGGGACTCCTTTGTAGGTGACTGTCCCCTTAGCTCTTGCTGCTTCTAGGATTCTCTCCTTCATTTTAATCTTGGCTAATGTAATTATGATGTGCCTTGGTGTGTTCCTCCTTGGGTCCAACTTCTTTGGTACTCTCTGAGCTTCTTGGATTTCCTGGAAGTCTATTTCCTTTGCCAGATTGGGGAAATTCTCCCTTTATTATTTGTTCAAATAAGTTTTCCACTGGTGGCTGTGCCTTTCCCCCTTCTGGTACCCCTATAATTCGGATGTTGGAGCGTTTAAAGATGTCCTGGCAGTTCCTAAGACTCTCCTCATTTCTTTGAATTCTTGCTTCTTGACTCTTTTCTGTTTGGCCATTATTTGCTTTCTTCTGGTCCACTCCATTGATTTGAGTCCCAGTTTCCTTTTCATTGCTATTGGTGTCCTGTGCAATTCCATTCATTTCAATTAGTTTTGCCTTCATATATTTGTCTAATTTGTCGGTATAATCAACCAGTTCTGTGAGGATCCTGATCACCAATGTTTTAAACTGTACGTCTGTGAGTTTTGCTATTTCTTCATTGCTTAGATTTATTGGCTCTGGGGCTCTGAGATCCTCCTGCGCCATTCTTGGTCTGTTCGGGCCCTTTAAGAAGCTGCGCCTTGGATTCCCAGGTCGCTGGGTTGTGACACTGTCTGTGGGGGCGTGGCCCGAGCAGGGAAATGGCGACCCCCTCAGCCGCTTCTCACAGCTGGGTGCGGAGGAGCAGTGCCTTAGGTGGTTCACCTGGGCCGGGCCGCTCAGAGTCGCTGGGTTATGACGCTGTATGTGGAGGTGGGGTGAGAGCAGGGAAATGGCGGCGCCCTCCACTGCCGCTTGCCGTGGGGGCCTGCCGGCCCGGTCCAACCGCCCACTCCCTCGCCTGTCCACCCTCGCACAAATGCGCGACCTCAGTCAACACGCAGCTCCGGCCCGGCTGTCTCCCCCGCGGTCGCTTGCCTGGTTGCTCGCTGGGTCGCTCACTAGGTCTGACCCTGCGCCTGGATTCTGCCGGCCTGTGTGTGTCTGGCCGAGTCCTCCTGTGCAACCCTGCTCCACCAGCCGCTGGTTTCGCCCCTTACCGGTCAGGCTGAAGAATTTGTTGTTAACGGACTTCCGAAAAGTTCAATTTTCTGTGTTCTGGCTGTGTTTTCTGTTGCTAATATTTAGTTTTCTCTAATCTTGGTTGTGTGAGAAGGCACGGCACATCCACCTATGCCTCCATCTTGGCGGAAGTCCCTAAAGAGGATTTCTTGACTCAGGTACTAAGGTAGTCCACAGACAAGGTGGAGATCAGGAAGTCTCAATCAGGGCTCTGCTCTGTCTGTGTTTCCTGCCATTATTTTGGTTACACCTTTTCTCTGTCCATATGCTTCACCCTCCAAATGCCAGCAGAATGGCTCATAGTTTGTATGGCTCAGCAGTTTGAGGCTTAGGGTGACAATGATAGTATCAGAGGAAGAGGTTTTGTATCTAAAGAACTAGGGTTCTGTTTTCCCAGAACCTTCCAGCAAACATCCCCTCATGTTTTATTATACTGGGTAGGATAACATTCCTATTTCTGAGAAATCCATTGAGCAGGAGATGTTAAACACTGATTGGCTTAGATATGATGTTCTGAGGAGGGATAACTTTTAGAGTGATCAGGCTCTCCCCTGGACCTGGGGTTCTGGTCAGAGGTCTTTAAAGCATGTGGGCTTTCTGGGAGAAACCTAAATGAAAACCAGGGTACAGAGCTGTGGGGAAGAAAATGGCTCAGTGCCCACTGTGCCAAGCAGCACTTACCCTACCCTTAAAATCTTCTTGTAGTTCCTGATGGGTTATAGCAGAAACCCTGGACTTATGAGTCTGAGGAACCACAAGAAGATTGGTTCAGTTCAAAGTCAATTCAACAAAGTGTGTGGTTGGTTACTGTGTACATGGCAAGTTAATATGCCCTGTTGCTTTCAACATGGTTTTCTTTCCTCAACTGGGACAGCTGAGAGTAGATTCAGTCTCCCAGCTTGTCCCTTCATCACCTGTCCCTAAAACATGCAGAGGGCCCTCTTGAGGCTTTCTAAAAGTTTTTACAAAGGGGAAGAAACTAGGGATAGTAAATAGCTCTCACCCTTCTCTCCCTGATTCTCCTACTCTTTTTCTATTAGACTCTGCAGAGAAACACAGAGGCCAATGGTGGGTCCTTATGCTAAAAGTGAGGGCTCTGCTGCAAAACCAGTCTGTGAACCACCCTGCTCTGACAGTGATGACTTGTTTTCACAGGGAACCAGCAGGAGGGCTTTTTTCTTCCAGTAGCTCTGAAAGTTTTGTGCTGTTGGCCCCATGACCCTTCTGATTACTCTGTATGATCTTGTCCCCTCTAGATGTTCGACTGGATAAGCCACAACAAGGAATTATTCCTCCAGAGCCATACAGAGATTGGAGTCAGCTACCAGCATGCTCTAGACCTGCAGACACAGCACAATCACTTCGCCATGAACTCCATGGTGAGTGAAGCACCTGCCCTCAGCACTGCCTCTGGGGACAGGAGAGTGGTGAGGGAAGGGAACAGGGGGAGGATGGGAAGAGTCAGGGACAGACTTCCAACCTGAGTAAGAGTGTGGAACTCTGAATGCGTGGATCCTTTAGTATCCCTTTTGCCAGAAGGGGGACGTGTGCAGGACATGTGGCCAGCCAGCAGTTCTGTAACAGATTATAGTCCCATTTCTGCCTCCAGACCTTGCTTTATAAGGGAAAAGGAATTTGCTGGGGTTGTAGAAGGCATTAGCTCGGTGCCAAACTAGAAGGGAGAGTCAACAGTTCCACTCTGCTGACTTAACCAAGTAGTACATGTGTTACTGAGCTGGGATGGTGAAGGACCTGAGGCTACGGCACACTAGGATTGAGTGAACTGGGACTGTTTAGACTTGGGAAGAGGAGCCTGAAGGGACACACAATTGCTGCCTTCCTATGTGCAAAGGGCTACCTTGGAAAGAAGAGGGTAGAACTGTTTTGTGTTGGTCTCACAGGCATAACTGTCTGAGGGACAACAGTTGGAGGGAGAGGCAGGACCTGACTCCGGGGAGTACAATACACTGGGAGGTAGTGAACTCCCATGATGGGGAGTTTTCAAGCAGACCCTGAGTTCTGAGAGGGATATTTGTTTCCTGTGTGGCCACAGGGAATTCATCTCTCTGTTCTTCAAAAATTCTTCACCTATAAAGTGGAAATAATAATAGCTCCCTTATAGAGTTATAAGGATCCAAGGAGTTAATTGTGAGGTTGTGGGAACTGTGCCTGATACATAGTAAATAAACTATTAGTAAATATTAAGATGCTGCTGCTGCTGCTGCTGCTGATGATGATGATGATGTAGGAGTGTAGTTCAGATAACACCTGTGATTCCTCAGAAAACATTTTAGGATACTGTTTTTTTCCCCTGTGGTCACTCCAAAACTTCATTTCAAAATCTTGTCTGCCCCTTGACCGTGTATTGTATTTGAAATGCTGCCACCTAAGAATGCCTTTCTCCCCTCTGCCAGCTCTTCCTACTTACACTACTGATCCAGAAGAATAACTTCACCATTCTGCCTGCATTTGAATGCCAAGCACTCCTTATCATTTCAGCCAGGGATACTGGTAGGGGAGCAAGTGTTAGAAAAACATACAAATGAAGGATCGAAGAGGCCAGGAAGGAAGAGAATTTCATTTTCTACTACATTGTTTTAAATGCTACGCACTGTACTTAATGTACTAAAGACAAAATAATTCTGGCCTCCAGTTGTTCAGCATCTAGTTGGGAAGGTAACTCAGACAATCATGGTGCAGCTTGACATGTGCCAAGATAGAGATATGCTTAGTTAACTGAGAACCTTAAAATCTCTGTGGCTTACGAAAACAGGGATTTATCTCCTTCCTTCCTTCCCTCCTTCCCTTCTTCCCTCCTTCCCTCCTTCCTTCCTTCTTTCCTTCCTTCCTTCCTTCCTTCCTTCCTTCCTTCCTTCCTTCCTTCCTTCCTTCCTTCCTTCCCTCCCACCCAAGGACATATTTTTATTGATTTTAGAGAGAGTGGAAGGGAGAGAGAGAGAGAGAGAGAGAGTAAGTGAGAGACAAACATCGACGTGAAAAGTATCTCCTGCTTGCTTCCCATACATGCCCCAACTAGGGACCAAACTTGCAACCTGAATATGTGCCCTGACTGGCAAGTGAACTTGTAACCTTTTGGTGCATAGGATGATGCTCCAACTAACCGAGCCACCTGGCCAGGGCAGGGGGTGTTATTTTTTGTACCTACCACATGCCTATCACTGGGTGATGGGAGCTCTGCTCATCAGAGTCACCTGAGGACTCAGGCTGATGAGGAGCCACAATCGCAGATGCTGCCAGTTGCCTCACTAGACAAAGCATGTAGCCAAGCACATAGTGGCTCTGGAACCATTGCCCAAGAAGTGACACATGCTACTTTGACTCATATTTCATTAGCCAACACCAGCCCTGTAGCCATATCTCACTTCGTGGGTAGAAAGTATGGTCCTAACACATGATTGGGAGGAGAGAGTCGAATATTTGTGAATAGCCCCAACAACTGGCACAGGGAGCCAGTGCAGGATATAATGGACAGATGAGCATCATGAGATTTGCACAGAAAGATAACTGCCTGCAGAATAGAAGGTTGTGGGCCCGGGCAGGGAAAACAGCAACATTGGTTTTGTTATCAGTTTTGGCCACAATAGTCTTGCGTCTTCACCTAAATGTAAAGACTCATTCCCTTCCAACTAGTCTCCTATAATTATGTGCCTTCCCTGGCTCACTTTAGTCACAGAGAAGCAGAGCAATTGATCACAGATGATTCAGAACATGATCTCAAATGTAGTCAAGTTTGATTATCTGTGCACCTTATGGATTTCCCCTGGTGAATTTTACAAATTCTGCACCAGAGTCTTCCTGTTGCCCAACTGCCTGGCCCTAGGGCAGACAACTCATCTGAATAAGAACCTAAGACAAACATAATTAGGGAGGTAAGTCTGCCACAAATACCCTCAAAACAGTGAACTACACAGGTATATAGAAAGAGCCTTTGGCTTTGAATTATTTGCACTGGTGCTTGTCTCTGTTAATATGGATAACTGAGAGTTAGTGGCACATCAAAAACCTTTTCGCTGACGAATTTACTTTTGAAGTCTCCATATGCAGGAGAGAAATGAGGGAGAAAATTTACCGAAGGGAAGCATCTTCTGCAGCTGGGAGAGAAAGAAGAGATTTAACATACAACAGCCAGTGAGCCCATTCCAGCCCATCTCAGAGTCTCCCACCCCCTGAATACGTGCAGCACCCCTTTGCTGGGTTAGGCTGGATCTTCTCTCTGGCTGCAGGGCAAGGGGTCAAATTGCCTGGGCACATGTGCTATATATACAGAGCCCACCCTGTGCTTTTGCTAACTGGGAGGCTTACAGATTTGTTATTAAAAGGAACTTTCACAAAGAGGGATGTCAGCATCCCTAACAGGTAAAAGGAGGAAATTACAGACTCCTTTTCTCTAGCCTGAGTGATGGAAGTTGCTGCCAAGAAATAGATGAATACAAGCAGCTACTCCCGAAGCCCAGTGACTACAGGAATGATCAGTTACTCAGGGGAAGTGAGAATGTGGACTCTTCTGAGAATTCACTGAGGCCTTTCTGTTTCTGTTCTTGTAAGTTACACGTACACCTTTTCACACAAACATACTTCTTTCCATGTAAAGGTACATGCATGTAACATACTGTGTTTTAGGCTACAGGGGAATTCTTCGGTATTGAATTCAGTTTTATGACTGAAATAGGCCAGCGATTTCTTACCTTTTGGGGAGGAGGTCAGAGACCCCTTTGAAATCTAATGAAGGTGGTGCTTCTGAGAAATATGTATATAAACAAATTGTTTTAGATAATTTCAGGAAATTTGAGGGAATTCTAAAGCCTATCAGTCAGCTTCCCCCACTTAAGATCTCAAGAACCTAATGACTTTATTTACATATTCCACAAGTAACTAAGGGTCAGACATTGTGCTGGATATCAGGCATATAGTGGTCAACAAAAGAGATTGTGTCTTAAATATGCAATCTAATATAAAATATACTTAAAACCAACAAATTTTATGTTGGAAGAGTAAGGGATGCTATGAGAGAGTATAACCAAAGAGCTTGATTTAAGCGAGGGGAGGTTGGGTGTATTTTTCAATCAATAATCAGTACCAATTTGCTCATTGTTCATTCATTGATAGTAATTTATGACCTATAAATTAACTGTATAAAATACCAAAGAACTTATCATTTAAAGAATCTCTAGGTATTTTTGTAAATTAAAATAATAAATTTATAATTTACCTGTTTTCAAAGATTTGTTTTCACGTGTCTAGTATTATATACAGGTTAAAGACCCAACTCCAGCTAAGGTGACCATTATTGAGAAATAATAGCATATCATTAAATCTTGGAGAAAAAAATCAGAAAATTTCTAAATTTTATCTATGAATTTGTACCAGTACAGGCTATAAATTAGTAACATGCTGGGAGGGTAGGAGCAATACCCTACTGAGTATGGTATGTGAGCATCTCTAAAAGAAAAAGGTTAAAATTGGTTATGTTTGGCTTTTTGTCTAACATATTTTTTTTGCAGTTCCCACTGGGGAATCCTATTCTTTTGATCTTAAAAAAATAAACAAATAATAATAACCCACCTACTAAACCCAGTAGGAAAATATTGTCTGGCTTCTTATAGTGCCTCAGAAAGGCAGGTTCCTCGAGTTCCTTGGTGTTCTCCTCTTTTTAAATTAAGCCTCCTGTTGTGAAAGCCTTTATCACAAGTTCTCCTTCTCCCGAGTGTGGGCTTCTTCTCTGATGGGAGTGTGGGCAGATGGAAGTAGGGTCCGGCTGTGATATGCAACAGAACAATCATTTAGCTATTCAGTTCTAGTTCTTTATGGAAAAGGCACAGGAATACATAAAAACAGCACAGCCTTATCTACAATTCTAACTAGCCAGTTCTTTGGGCAAAATTAATTGCTAATGGTTTCTGTCTAGAATTTTAAGATATGAAATAATATTCATTTTCTATTATTATGACAATGAGGATTCACATTGCTGATAACCATGTACAGTTAGGCAGTAGGAATCCTTTCCACCGTGGCATGTTGGGTAGCTGCTTTAGTCCTATTAATTTTCTTACCAGAGGCACATATTGCCACCTGATGGACTGCAGATCAGACCAATTGCAGCAAAGCCAATGGTGCTTTCTCTTTGTTTTGAGGGATGGTTACAAATGGTAGCACCAAGGAAATGTCAGATCTGGAGCAAGAGAAATAGAGATTTTGAGGCAGGTTTCCTGACCCCAGTCTCAGAAGCCTTGCTCTGGAGTCCTCTGTTGTTTTAGATTCTGTTGTCAAAGGTAGCCCTAAACCATGATTCTGAAGTATTTCCCCACCTCCCAAAAGGCAGTACTTCCTATTATGACACTATTTCTAAATTTTGGTGTGT